CTGCATTGCCTAGATGATGGTGGTGTTGTCCATGGCTCTAGAGGAAAATGAAGTAGGTGTAGGACTGGGGAAGCAAAGGGGGATCAAGAACTCAGTTTTGCTCAGAATTTAAATGGATGGCTATATGAACATAACATAAGAACGGCCATATTAAGTCAGACCAAAGGTACATCCAGCCCAGTACCCTGTCTGCCGACAGTGGCCAATGCCAGGTGTCCCAGAGGGAGTGAATTGAATGGGTAACGATCAAGCGATCTCTCTCCTGCTATCAATCTCCAGCCTTTGACAGAGGCTACGGACACCATTCCTTACCCATAGTGGCTAATAGCCATCTATGGACTTAACCTCCATGAATTTATCTATTTAAACCCTGTTATAGTCCTAGCCTTCTCAACCTCCTCATGCAAGGAGTTCCACAGAGTGACTATGCACTGTGTGAAGAAGAACTTCCTTTTATTTGTGTTAAACCTGCTGCCCATTAGTTTCATTTGGTGGCCCCTAGTTCTTATATTATGGGAACAAGCAATAACTTTTCCTTATTCACTTTCTCCACACCACTAATGATTTTATAGACCTCTATCATCTCCCTCCTTAGTCTCCTCTTTTCCAAGTTTAAAAGTGCCAGTCTCTTTAATCTCTCCTCATATGGGACGCGTTCCAAACCCCATATCATTTTAGTTGCCCTTCTCTGAACCTTTTCTAATGCCACTATATCTTTTTTGAGATGAGGAAACCACATCTGTATGCAGTATTCCAGATGTGGGCGTACCATGGATTTATATAAGGGCAATGAGATAGTCTCCGTCTTATTCTCTATCCCTTTTTTAATGATTCCTAACATCCTGATTGCTTTTTTTGACTGTCGGTGCACACTGCGTGGACGTCTTCAGAGAACTATCCACGATGACTCCAAGATCTCTTTCCTGATTAGTTGTAGCTAAATTAGCCCCCATCCTATTATATGTATAGTTGGGGTTATTTTTTCCTGGACGTTTTCAGAGAACTATCCACAATGATTCCAAGATCTCTTTCCTGATTATTTGTAGCTAAATTAGCCCCCATCATATTGTATGAATAGTTGGGGTTATTTTTTTCCAGTGTGCATTACTTTACATTTATCCACATTAAATTTAATTTGCTATTTTGTTGCTCAATCACTTAGTTTTGTGAGCTCTTTTTGAAGTTCTTCACAGTCTGCTTTGGTCTTAACTACCTTGAGCAGTTTACCCCTTTCTCTAGATCATTTGTGAATAAGTTGAATAGGATTGGTCCTAGAACTGACTGAACCTTGGGGAACACCATTAATTACCCCTCTCCATTCTGAAAATTTACCATTTATTTCTACCCTTTGTTTCCTGTCTTTTAACCAGTTCTCAGTCCATGAAAGTATCTTCCCTCTTACCCCATGACAACTTAATTTACATAAGAGCCTTTGGCGAGGGACCTTGTCAAAGGCTTTCTAGAAATTAAAGTACACTATATCTACTGGATCCCCCTTGATCATATGTTTGATGACCCCTTCAAAGAACTCTAATAGATTAGTAAGACATGATTTCCACTCCTTCTTTGAAGAACTCTTTGAAGTTCTTTGAAGAACTCTAATAGATTAGTAAGACATGATTTCCCTTTATAGAAACCATGTTGACTTTTACCCAACAAATTATGTTCTTCTATGCATCTGGCAATTTTATTCTTTACTATTGTTTCAGTTAATTTGCCCAATACTGATGTTAGACTTACCGGTTTGTAATTGCCAGGATTGCCTCTAGGGCCCTTTTTAAATATAGGCGTTACATTAGCTATCTTCCAGTCATTGGGTACAGAAGCTGATTTAAAAGATAGGTAACAAAGAATTCATTTAGTTTCTCCGCAATGACTTTATTGTCTTTAAGCGCTCCTTTTGTATCTCGATTGTCCAGGGGCCCCACTGGTTGTTTAGTAGGCTTCTTCAAACTCCTTTTTGGCTTTTCTTATTACATGTTTACACTTAATTTGGCAGTGTTTATGCTCCTTTGTATTTGTCACTAGGATTTGACTTACACTTTTTAAAAGTTGTCTTTTTATCTCTCACTCCTTTTACATGGTTGTTAAGCCACGGTGGCTCTTTTTTAGTTTTTATGTTTTTTAATTTTGGGTATACATTTAAGTTGGGTCTCTATTATGTGTTGTCTTTGAAAAGTGTCCATGCAGCTTTCAGGGATTTTACTTTAGTCACTGTATCTTTTAATTTCTATATAACTAACCTCCTCATTTTTGCATAGTTCCCCTTTTTGAAATTAAATGCCACAGTGTTGGGCTGCTGAGGTGTTTTTCCCACCACAGGAATGTTAAATATTATTATATTATGGTTACTATTTCCAAGCAGTCCTGTTATAGTTACCTTGAGGACAATCCATGCAGGGTTGTTTTAGAGATTGACTGAGATATTGGAATTGGTGAAAGGAAATTTGTGCATTATCAGTATACCAATGATAGTCAAACAGGCTATCAGACTGCTCATAAGAGCACCCAGAGATAGTCATAAAAGAAGATAAACCAAGAAGGATAAAGACTTTGAGGAACACCTAAGAAACTGTTAGGACAGCAGTCCTCTACCTGATTGAAGTAAAAGCAAGGAACTTCAAAAATAATCATGTTCTGCTTTTTTTGTGCTGTATATAAGCTACCTATAACAAAGAGGATGTGGAAGAGAAAGGAGAACTGAAAGTTCCTGGTGCCCCGGTCTAAAAGAATTAGATATCAGTCCAGTAATGCAATATCACATTTACACACATAGAATTTGACAGTGCTTCTTATTGTGGAAGAAATGGGGAAAAACATAATAATATTAGGAATCAATTAAGCTACTGAACTTTTTTTTTAAACCCAACTGCACACAGATGGAAAAGGTTAGAGAGAACATTGTTCTTGACCTGTCTGTGTGCATTTGTATAGATTATATTCCCATTTGATAGTTTGTGACTGTAAGTGGTTAGCACATCACAGAAGCAGGCAAAATCCTCCAAAAGAGTGTGATTATGTTGACTGGGAGTACTGGTGTCACCAGTGTAACTGGTTCTGAAAAGCAGAACTTGAAGGGGAAATGTGAGTTACAACTTAGTTTATTTAAAGAATTAAATTACTTTATGAAATAAGATTACAATATTACTGGTTCATCTCTAGATTGTATTTCTGATTTTGACATGTATACCTGTAAATGAGATGTGATGAATTAGTTTTTACCTGACACTTGAACAGTTATCGTTGCATGTCATGCCAAGCAAATTAGAACAGCATCATCTAAGAATTATCAGCTCACATCATCATTGCAGAGCAGTAAGGTGGTGCAGCTGCTCTGAGAGTGTGCAAGATTAGGCTAGAATATTGAAAGACTCATTTTCTGAGGTTAGCATTCTCCTCCTCAGAATTTCATGTTCTGCTTCTACAGACTAATTTAGATGCTTAAATTAGTAGCTACTTCAGGGAGAAATTTTCAGATGATCACTTTTATCACTTGAGTGTCTTTAGTTGTATGTCATTTTAATCTCTAGGGAAGTTGTTCTTTCAAAATTACTGAGGGGGTTGGTGAAGAGATGTCTGGGGAAGGAGAAGTTTAATGCTTTGATGAATTTCTGCTTTTACAGCAGAAGGCATTGACAGGTGTAACTGGTTGTGAGGTGGAGGACAAATGCTTTTGTCCCCCGAAAGTGGTTTCTAGTTGACAATATTCAGATTTTTGAGAAAAGGAATGCAAATCAGTGAAACAGTAGAACACTCAACTCAGATTAGATTAGATTAAACTGAGCCACTCTCTGTGGGGATTAATTATGTCACTAATAGAGTTAGAAGATATAGGTGTGAGTTTTTTTCCATGTAAAGTACTATGTACACAATATTCAACTCTCAAACTAATGATGAGGTTGAGAGGTCATCACTATATTATATTATACTTTAAATATAGTATTCATTACAGCTTTCTTGAGATGTGTTGGCGTATGTTGGTGGGAGTAGAATGGAAGTCATGGAATAAATGAGGTGCATGGAGGGAATCCTGTGAAGATTGTCTTTATATTACTCGTGGATATTTATCTTATGGTAGCACCCAAAGGGTCCATTTGAGATTGGGGTCGTCTTGTGCTGGATACTGTAATATTTGTAATCTGTCTCAGAAATATCTGGAAGGATGTATATAACTATACATTTAAAGATGAAAATCTGTGCTCTGTAAATAGATAGATCCAAGTAAAATGATACGATGAGATGTAGTTTTTTGCTTGGCGATCTTGTACACAGTAATTTACAATGGTGTGGCATATCTGTAATTTTCTTTGTCATAGTTTGCGATGAAATAGATCTTTGTTTCTTGAAGGGTTTCTAGTGGTAAAGAAACAAAGCTACATAAATCATCTCTGAATATTTTACGCGCTAGGTGATGTTTTTGGAAAAGTGTGTAAAACAGCCAGCTGACCAGAAAACAATGTGGTCAGCTGCAAATTAACAGCAGCAATACCATAAAATGTCCTAAAGATATTATGTATTTCACAACTGTGTATTTGTCATAGGTCTGTTGCCCATTGTGACCTCTGTAAATTCCATAGTCTTTCATTTGATAGGATTATGATTACTGCTTTATATTGCTGAAACATCATTACCAAGAATGTTTGTGTTAGATTATTTGTTTTAAGAATCTTTTATTTAACAAAGATAGGGGACCTGAAGAATCCCAGTCCGAACAGGAAATCTGTCATAAACAAACACTCATAGGAATGCCTGAATTGGTTTGCTTTGCAGAGGTAACCTTCTAACAAAAGTGGAGCAAACTGTGTTCCATAGTTTCGGAAATACTTCAGGGTGATGGCGGGGAAGGGGGAATACTCATAAGAATTAAAATTGTTTCTCGTTATGATTTCACCATATAATATGTTGTACTTTGCTTAATTAAGTCATTTACTGTGTGCAGGATTATTTTTTTAAAATGTTATCTTCCTAACTTGCGGTATCCTTATGCTTTCCTCTTCTAGTTGACAATCACAGTCCTTCCAGGGAGGATACTCCTACTGGCAGTATGGATTCTCTCTCTTCTCAATCTCCTACTCCTGCCATCTCTAGCAGCCCCCCTGAGATTGACAAAAATCACCTTATTTTGGAGAGCGGAGACCTAGCAGACTGGGCAACCAATCAGTAAGTAACATTATTTCAGTTGGCTCTGAAAGAGAAGACTATTGCACTGGCACAAACATGCATAAAAATGTGTTCCCTGTCCCTACCTAGTTTGGATGCAATTGAGTACCTTTTTGAAGTGAATATATTTGGTTTCCATTGCTGTAACCATGGGAAGCAAAGGAGTAAGTCAGTACAAAACTGACCTGTCACATGTTTCAAAATGGCTCTCAAAGTACAGTTCTGCATCCAACAGTTATATCTGCTAAATCAGTACCTCTCAGCCTTTCCATATTGCTGTACCCCTTTCAGGAGTCTGATTGTCACATACAGGCCAAGTTTCATTTCACCTAAAAGCTACTTGCTTACAATATCAGACATAAAAATATAAAAGTATCTCAGCACACTATTACTGAAAAATTGCTTACTTTTGCCTTCTTGTCATATAATTATAAAATAAGTTGATTGGAATATAAATATTACACTTATGTTTCAGTGTATAGTATATAAAGCGGTATAAACAAGTCATTGTTAATATGAAATTGTAGTTTGTTTTATAGGCTGTTGTAAAACTAGGCAAATATCTAGATGATTTGATGTGCCCCTTGGAATACTTCTGTGTACCTCCAGGGGTGTACATACCCCTGATTGAGAATCACTGTGCTAGGTTATATTTTAGCTTTCTCCTGCAGAAAGTCAAGGTGTTTTACTATTAGCAGTTTGATGATTTATGATGATTTATTTGAGCGCTGCATTTGTAAAGTATTCTATGCATAATACATTGCCATTATTTTATTTCAAACCACTGGGTGCCTCCATAAACCTAACCTGAAGAAGTGTCTACATATTGTAGGATGTTATCATCAAGACATAGGATCAAATTCTGTCCTTGGATACATATAGCGCCTGTTAAAATTAATAGCCCTTGTTATTCAAGGTCTGACTTAGATCTATATAATACATTAACACATAAAAATGCCTGTATTTTCAATTAATTTGCAGTTTGTCACTTTGAATAGTCTCTGTAGCAGTTAGTGAGCATGATTCTAGTTGAACAAAAAGTGACATTGCAACTTCTAGTACACTGGGGCTCAATTCACAATATGGCCATGCCTAAAACATAAGGAGTCTGACATTTTTTATCATAAATCAAACTGAGTGAATTCCCCAGTTTACTATTTGTACAAAATGTAAAATGTCATAAAAAAAATCTCTGACCTTGAAAGGCAAAAAGGTGAATGAAGTAAGTCTGAGGAAAGAATTTTTTAAAGATATTTTCCTTAGTGACATTTTGAGTGGCCTGGCGCGCGCGCTCTCTCTCTCTCTCTCTCTCTCTCTCTCTCTCTTTCTCTCTCTCACTCTCTCTCACTCCTCCCCCCCGCCCTTAAGTAGCACACTCTTCTGCTTGGGACTTCAGGGAAGGCTGTGGACTGGGGGAAGGACAGTGGAGTTGCTGGTGGATTTATCACTGCATTGATCTGCCAGCCACAACCACCCCAGAAGAGTGTGTGCAAGGAAACTTAGCTTTAGGCTTTAGTAGCAACTGAAGGGTAGTTCTGCTAATGGGTCGCAGTTTGAGGAGAAGGGTTTTAGACTGATGCCTGAAATGCCTGTTTATCTTATGCATAATACATTACCATTATTTTGTTTCAAACCACTGGGTGCCTCCATAAACCTAACCTGAAAAAGTGTCTAAAGAAGTGAAAAAATGCCCGTTTATCTTAAACTTTGCACAGCAGTTGAAGAATCCGATTCCTGGAAGCACAGAGACAAAAAGTGGTGTGTGTAGAGCTTCTAATGTGTAGAACTTCTAACAGCGCTTGTGTGTCAATACTAGAGCTGGCATTTTTTGTCAGAACTGACCAAAGCATCTACATTGAAACATTCCACTGTGTCACATCAATTTTAATGAAAGTATCCTGGAAACCAGTCAGGTTTCTAATAGAACCATGTCTCTCAGGCAGATTTAAACCTACCTGACTTCCTGTCAGCTTGCCCAGCTGGTTCCTCAGCAGTCTTGGGTGGGCTCTCTAATATCCCAGGTCCTGGCCCAGCCTACCCAGTGGATAGTCCTAGAGCCAGGGTTCCCAGTAGAGTTAGGTGGAGAGAAGTAATTCTCTCTTGTGGAGCATTTCAATGTTTTGGAGTTTTGTTCTAAATCATATTTCTAAATCTCCCATAAAATGGAATTATTGCTCTCTGCCCAGCTCTTGTAAATACCATTCTGAGCCTAGGGCAGATGGAATTCAGGAGAATCTGGTTTCTCAAGTTTCTGCCGATGTTTATGACTTGTGGATAGTAGTTGTTGGAAATCAATCACCATAGAGCTATTATCTGTACAGTGAATAAGGTGATGGGTAACTTAATTGCTCAAAAACAAAAATTGGCTTTGTTTCCTAGGAGGACATTGCATCATAGTATGCTCCAAAGTGGCTCTCTACAAAATCAGGAGGAGGATGCTGGCTGGGGAGATGCTCTGTGACTGTGGGGCCCACTTCTGCTCCTTCTTTCTATGACACATTCAGGCAGAGCTCCCCTGGACCTCATTTGCTGACTCCCTAGATGCTTTTGAGGAGCAGTGGCTGTTGTCCCGTGATCTCTGCACAGTGTCCCCCTCCAGTTCCCTGCATTGCCTCTATGACTTCATTCTTGTCCCTCTTTTCATACTAGATGTCCCTCCAAATTATTTGAGATCTGGGTTTAGTCATTCCTCCTTTTAGACTGGGGGAGGGATCTTTCATCTGCATTGTACACATTGCACTTTTTAGCATACTTTTAAGTTTGCACTTTTTAAAGTTAGAACTAATATAACTCCATGCAAAAAGGGAATTGTCATATTGATGTGTTGTCTCCTCTCTGAAACTGGAAGGGAAATATCTTATAACTTGAGCCATAGAAATGATAATTGGATCTATTTAATATTCCTGGTTCTGAAACACTTTGGGGTGTGACTTTTGTCATTTAATCATTCAGTACCTCACTTTTCCTCATGCCTAAAATGAGAATGCTTTTGTGTCTGTGTGAAATAGCCCTGGAAGATCTTTGACTAGAAGGCACGAAGTGGAACAAAATATTTTATTGCTTTGATGAAGAACATCTGACATAACGCAGTATTTTTTATGTGTAGTGTAGATTTTCAAGCTGAGCCAGCCCTTCACCTTGTTTTATCCAGTAATCATTTGTAACAAAGGAATATGCAGTCATGCACAGCTGAAGTTCGACGAGCAATGCAGTTGCAATGTTTAAATGCATTGTTTAAAAACATAACACAAAAAGCACAGAGCTCTGCAATATTTTGTGTGCTAGAGAGCTGCTGTTAATTATTTCTATTATAGTAGCACCTACATCAGGGATCTCTGGCCCTAGGCACCGTACAGCAGTGCTACTCAGATCTCAGTGGTTCAAGAGCCAAGGTGATGGTCAGCATTGCCCAAAAGAGCCACAGTAGTGTGAGTTCATTGTTTCATTTACTATAGTACTATAAATTCATATATAAAGACTATGATGGGAAATTATATATAAAAATATTCTAAAACCAGTATTATATTATCAATGTACCACATGACAATAGACACAAGCTGTATTATCTGTGCGCTGCTTCTAAAATGCACACAAAAAGTTTGTGAACTAGTGACTAGTACTACATGTGACTAGGGATCTAAGAGTGTAGCCACTTAAACAGGTAACCAATAAGTTGTGCTTGTTGGTTATCCAAACGGTTACACGCAGCTCCTGGTCCTGCTTCCAAGGAGCTGGCTGCCACTCCGTGCTGCTGCCTCTGTACCTCTGCACACCTTGACTCTTGGGGAGCTGACTGCCATCCTGCGCTGCTGTTTCTATATCAGGCAGGTGGGAACAGGTATGCACAGGGAGCCATCTTTAAAGGCAACAGCGCACACTGGCAAGTGAGCACTGTCTCCTGGGGAGCTGGCTGCCATCCTGCATGTAACTATGTAACTGTTGACATTTTCAGTGGTTACACAGTTACACAATTACACATGTTGTAACATCTCTGCTTTTGACCATACTGTTCATGTTGTGCATGTGTTTCATCTCTGGTCAAGAATCCTGTTTTGAAGTTTCATGACTGCTCCTCCAGAATATTGTATCTCCCATGCTCCCTGCAGCCCGCTTCCTTCCCATCCGTCTGGTTTGGTAGGAAAAAAGTTTTCTTATTCCTCTAAAATTCGATCCCATTTTGCTCCTCTCTCCTTCCCCAGCTTTGTCTCCCTGACTCACCTAATCTCTGTATTTTTACACAGCTGTACTAACATTTCACTTTTTTTTTTTCTCTCTTCTGGGGAAATTCCATGGCTTAAAACTCCTCCTGCCTGAGATCACCTGAAATTAATTGGATTCTTCCAGCTCAGGCTTTCCTTCATATACTTATTGCCCTTCCAAAGAAGAGTCACTAGAATGCTAACAATTCATTTTGTTTTCTTATAGACAGGTTGTGCAATATATGGCCCTTGTCATCTCATGGTTAGTTTATTAAATAACTAGAAGATTCTCCTGACATTGCTCAGGTCCCTAACTCTTTTTCTGGTTTTTGAAAAATAAAATTAAATATACATGCTTCATTTAAATCATTGCTTTGGGGAGGGGATAGGGCAGGACTAGGCAAAATATGGGCCAGGGCCTGGCTCTAGCCTGCGAAGCTATCGGATCCAGCCCGCAGACCACCCTGCTAGGTAAGACTCTCAGGAACACAGCTGCCGCAGTTTAAAACACAGTCCCTGAGGCTTTCTGCTTTGCAGAGAGGAGGAGGGTTTGTGCAATCTCTGTGCCCCCAGCCCAATCCTCAGCTCCTATTGGAAACAATCGGAGCTGAGAGTTTGCCCGCCCCCCCCCTCCCAGAAAAAAATTATTGCTCACCCCTGGGCTAGGGAGATTAGTATATAGATAGGCTGCTCAGGGGAGAGAGGACTACCCCAGCCCTCTCTCACCACATCATCTTGGAGCTAGGTGAGAAGCGCCTCCCCATGACCTCTACAGTTCCAGTGGACACAGTTGAGGGAGGG